AGACAATACCCTGATTCAATAACACTGGTCTATATTCATTCAATGATATGATTTGTAAGGGTATTGAATTAAATATTTCAAACATTCGACATCTCAAAACATGAATTACTTTTCTAACAAGCGATGGCCGCAGAAACTTACAAGGATTTTTCTGGCAGTGCGTCCTTGGTCGTTTTCGGCGTCGATGACGAGCACTTTTCTTGGATTCTGTCTCGCGTGGAAAGAAACCGGAAGAATTGACGCTGTTCAGATGTTATTTACTACATTTACTATCGTATTTATCCACAGCGCTGGAAATTTAGTCAACACGTATTACGACTTCGCTAACGGTGTCGATACAGAAGATTCTGACGATCAAACCTTGGTGAAGAAAGAACTTTCTCCGAGTGAAATGGCCGCTTGTATCGCCGAGTTGTATTTCTTGGGCATGGTGTCTTTTATAGCGGTTTATCTCCGCGCGGATGTAAACAGTTTTCCTCTGGTTGCCTTGTTTTTTAGCGGCGTGTTGAGTTCATTTATCTACACCGGAGGAATCGGTTTAAAATACATTGCATTTGGAGATGTTTTGATTTTATTGACGTTTGGCGTTCTGACCACAGTATTTGCCTTCTTTACTCAGACGGGTGAAATTTCCATGAAAGTCATTGGTTATGCTTTACCTCTGGCGCTAAACACAGAAGCCATTTTACATGGGTAAGTGCCGTAGTTTTTATACAAATAAATGTTTATATACTACATTCGATAAGATTATATCTGTACATGACTCTATTTAACTTTCTAAATAAAAGTAGATTCAAAGTAGTTTGATTGATTATCGGGAGCTATTCATACAAATGAAAAGTCCTTATTAAATATTGAGCAAAGAAGTGGTGTACAGCATGTGTTATCTTGCTGTCACACTGTTAAGAGGAAAATGAAAATAAGCGACTTGAAAAAAATATTATAAAAATATTAGTGACAACAATATCCTGACAATATATATGTATATTCGAAGACCAAATAGAAGGCAGAAAATATCGAAAAAATAGCTCGAACAGTCGATATTGTGAAAGGTATCTACATTTTTGGTAAGGGTGTTCATAAAATGCTTTCCACGCAGCATCGAACTGTACAAGCTGCTCATATGGTTATTATCTTTTTTTTGTAATTTTGATGTTTTGTCAGTTATAATCAGAAGCTGCAGCAAAAACAAGGAACTATTCATGTATGGAATACATAGCGGCCTCAAATGTTTTTGTGCATGCATTTAAAAAATATTGCATGACAAATCAAACTTTATGTGACAACATGTGTAAATAGAAGTCTTGGAATCGTAACCACGACTTTGAAAACTTGAGAATAATTTCATCACTTTTAACCTCATAAGCTGGTTGAAATAGTTGATTGTTTACGCAACAATGTTAATAGCATTGGAATTTGACATTTTTATTGATAATTGTTTACCTACATATTAATTACCTCCTAACGCCCTTCTAGCCATGTCTGGAGCGTCACATTCTAATTAGTGAATAACTACACGAGACGGTATCCAATGCAATTTAAATATTGACTGTCACGAAAGAAGTTAAAACGCTCTCAAAATCATCTCGTTCGACTTTTTTCGGTTTTGATTTATACTGACTTGGGATTTAATCTGTACAAGAAAACAATCAGTTATGTCTTTGAACTCAAACAAATTTGCTATTTTCTTCGAATCGCTTCAACCATGGACCTTCCCGGCGTCGATTTTGTCATTTCTACTCGGAACAGCCTTAGCGTGGAAAAATGATGGCAAGTTTCTTCTCCTGAACTTTTTCCTCACAGCTCTCGTGATCCTGTTCACGCACGCAGCGGGGAATTTTGTGAACTCGTTCTACGAAGCACAGAACCGAAGATTCTTTATTTCACCCGCGACACGAAGAGTCACGCTTGAGCTTAGCGCACAGTGGGCAATATGGAGCTACGTTCTAGCGACGGCTGCCTTCGGCTGCCTGGCTGTGGCTTCTAAAGTTGAACTCAGACAGGAATTTGGGTTGTATGCCACTGGGTTCCTCGCTTCTTTGCTTCATGGTGGAGGATTGAAGAACATAGTTCTTGGTGAGGTGTTAGCCTGCGGAGTATTTGGACCTCTGTCCATTCTGTTCGCATACATTGAACAGGTTGGAAGCACGGATCACCAGCTCTCGTATTTATGGATTGCCGTTTACTCTTTGCCATTTGTGCTCTTTACGGAAGCTATATTTCACAGGTAAGAAACTACATGTCGCTTTGTTTACTTTTATTTTTAAATAGGTGAACATTATTTCCCTTTGTTTGTTGTCTTAGCCATTGAAAATCGAGTGAAAAGTGACAAGCTGTATAGCCTTGCTCTTCGACAATTTATATTTTTACAATTTTGAACTTTGGACACAGTCATCCTGGGACTGGAAAGGTCTAGAAAGAATTTACTCATTTATCATTATCAGTTCTAATCTGCTAGAGAGCATGGGATACACGACAAACATCAACACTTCGCGCATTTATTTATAGCAATGATGAATAGATAGTCTGGCAGGATCGGCCGCACGGCGTAGATCCGAACACACACGAGGCAGTTCGAAGATGTTTTTCAATCCAAGGCTTCGTTTGGGCGCTTATTTGACGCGCGATTTTCGACATTTTTCTAAAACATGAACTACAGACAAGTGATTGACTTGGCTGATTATTCACGCAATGAAACATTCATGTAACGCAACTTAGCTATTAAATTCACGTGCCCATTCCATCTGTGTTGGATCGCTGCTCACACGGCTTGCAGCTGTCGTGAATATCTGTTCTCATTGGCGGAATAATAAAAAATACAATTCTGGAAAAAGCGCGCTGGGAATATTTGGTTCATTTAAAAATGAATCATGGCCTTTTTCAGCTACAGCAGCTAGGCTCATAATAACAATAATAATAATAATAATAATAATAATAATAATAATAATAATAATAATAATAATAATGTTGAGGTGTTAATGTTTTTT